GGCCTTTGAACGCGGCAAAAACGAGGCCCGTGGGGGCCTTTGAACGCGACGAAAACGAGGCCCGCGGGGGCCGTCCTACTCGCAACGAAACGGAGCCTAAGGGACGGGCGCCTCGGGAACAGCTAAGGGAGGGAGCGGAAGCGTGGGAGGGAGAAAAAAATACCTACTCTAATTCCATCTTAAAGTAAGTTAGGAAGGAGTGTCGAGAGAAAGGTTTGAAGTGAGTGAAAGCAAGGAAATACAAGTCTCAACCTAGAAAGTGCTGTACCCTTTAAAGGGCAACTCACGGTGGCCTAGAGTAACTAACAATATCTAAATGATATAAACATTTGACAGAACAGAGTGTTATACGCGGTATGCAGGATGACGTGATATACGGAACATCTAATTTTTTGCACCTCCCCTCAGAGAATATAAGCCATACAACGGATTGTGTATCTATTATAGAGGTCCCTAAAACTCAAGAAAACAGAAGTGTTTTCAAAATTTATCAACTCACCCAGCCGTTTTTACAGGTGGATAGGGTGGTGAAGTGATTTCTGTGGATCTCGTCTCTTGAGCGTTTCGTTTCTTAGCTTTTGCTGCTGGAGTGGTTGTGTAGCGTACCAAAATGAGGGCCTCACATTGGGTCCATGGAGCACCGTTGTCGGTTGGTCGGCCATTGTAGAACAGTCGTTTCGTCAGGTCTCTTTCTCGCTTATACTTGGGCTTTTCTAGAAGAACGAGATGCCTTACACACGAAACTAGGGAAGTTATAGTGGCTTGTTGACTTCGCTTTTGAGACTTCACGAGGAAATTATGGCTTCCATAGACGAGGTGGACGAGACTATGATGCTCGCACGCTACTTAGCGTCTCACGGCGGAGCGTGGCCTATCGCTGATACGCGAACGCCTTCGTCCTCCGTTTCGTTCGCGACTCATTGCCCTAGCGATGACCGTGACTCAACCAAATTACAATATCGAGCCGGCAGCGCTGCAGCTATGTGGAGAAAATCCGCGTCAGAATCATCACGTAGCGTTGGTGCCAGGACTAACGCAACACTCCCTCCTCTAAAGCGTGACTTATTCAGGTCTTCATCTGAAGCCGCTCAGCAACTCCCGTCACACGTTAATTTCTATGTCCAGAGTCCCCCAGTCAGCAACAGCGACGCAGAATCTCCCTTTGCCAGAGTTCCTCATCGCCGCTCGCCTGACGTGGATCTTTCAAGAACCAGGCGAGTGTCCGGAATTTCGCTCCTGCTGGCAACAGAGACTGGATGATGTGGAGATTTCTTCAAAGTATCACGGAGTCAGGGAATCGAGGAGCTTTCGGGAATTTCCTAGTGGAGGCAATTTCAGGATTGAAGGTTTCTGAGTGCAGCGACAACAAGGCGCGGAGTCGCCCTTTTTTGCAGAAGAGAGGAATGCCTCGCATCCTGTTGCACTGGGAAAACGATGTGGCATGTGGCCTGGACTTTCACTGAAAGGACTCTCCTTACTCAGCCTGTTCCGCGGGAAGTAAGCTCGGTGTGGTCCCTAGATTTGTAAAACGGCATCAGAAAGGGCTCATGATTTTTGGAGGGGACGGATGCAACGACTGGAACGCAGTCAGCGGGCTGTGCTTGTCGTAAAAAGGGTTGTGTGATGGGAAGCGCCAGAGATGACAGGGGGGCTTGACAGAGCTCTGAATAACGGGGCAATTTTGAGGGTTGAAGTCCCCGTCTTTCTCCCAGGCATTTCAGGGTTTTATGTGATGGGCTCAGGCTCCTCTGCTGCAAGTGTGAAGCCGCACATTTCTAAAGAGTTCACATAGCTCTTACTGCAATCTTCCTGAGCTTTTGCATAGCCCTTTTGTTGCTATCTACCTTATATGTAGTGTATAATGGAATGATGTGGAATTGTTTCTGTCTATAGTGGACTTGTTTTGCACATGATTTGCCCAAGTGGTGAGAAATAGATTGACAACCGTTCAAACCTTAGCTCTAGTACCGTAATCCAGTGTCACCGTAGAGAAATACCATATTCACAATGCAGCGACAACAGCAGTCTGAATGCATTGATCAAGAACCTCTAACACATACCAGTACATCTTAACAACCCTTACTCTGCTGCTCCATTTTGGCTGCTTGTACCATCACAACCTGACGATGCTTTTCAAACGAAAAGTATGTAACCTTTGGGCTAATGGGAGAGGTCAGGTCTATACTACCACTTCTCTGTCTGCTCCGTTGAGTGGAGAAACCCCTCCGTGCTGGCAATGTCACAGGTGTTGAAGGGGTAATTTCGCCTTCCTCTTCCTCCATCACAGTCAGCTCTCTGGCAGGCACACAAGCCTGCATGCTTGCCTGGAAATCCGGCTCCACGTTATCGGCAGTACCCTGGACCCCGCTGCCGTCCATCCATCCAGATAGATCATCAAAGCTTTTCCATTTCCGTCTGTCTCGCTGCCTGCAAGGAGCGGCTGCTGACTCGGCTCCCTCAGTGCTAACACCACGCAGCTCACTGCTGGACACGTGCTTCGGAGTCCCCGAAATCGCGGATCCAGGGGAAACTGGAGAGATCCGGAAAGAGATTGATGCTTCTGCTCCTGTACGTTTTTTTGCGAAGCTACGCAATCTCATAAATGACGGTGACGGTGGTAGGTTGGACGTCCGCTGACGCTCAGGAAACATACGTTCAGAACAAACCGATTCGTTTTCAGAAGATTTAGAGACGTTCGCCCTATTCACGAACCGCTGAGCTGCGTCCGACACGCCTTTACCAGGCGTTCCCCACACTATATCTTGATACGCCGTATCGTCCTCGTCGCCAGGGATCTCTAGCAGTTTCATGTTCGGAACAAGGGTCTTGCTCCTCATGCTCTTGCTCGGCTCGAGAATTTCGCTAAAAAGGTCCTCGTTTTGCTTGATACCCGCAGGATCGTGGCAGCTCGTCGATCTGGATCGAGGGAACGAAAAGGCTGTCTCGCTGTTCTTCTTGCGTGGTCGAAACCAGAACCGGCTGGTTGACTTTTCGCCGTTCGTTTCCGATTTCTGGTCAACAGACGCCGGCGTAGCTGCAGCCTCTGCTTCTTCCGCCAGTTCCCACAGGTCGGCCGAGAGAAGCTCCAAGGACGGAGGTCGCATATAATGGAAGGGCTCGGAATACGAGTCATCTTTGCTCTCTGATGCTGGACTCCCGATGCACCTCAGAATGCTAGCTTCAGGTCGCGCAGCATGGAGAGGCTCGGAACAAGGCACATGTGTGCTCGCTGATGCTGGAGTCGCCGACGTTATCGCAGGTGCCGTCATTGCAATAGCAGCGTACACAAGAAAGAATGCAGTACTTTGATTTACGTCTGGAGAAACCTAGTAATGGTCGAGTATCAACATTAGCAACTGTTTAGACGTCTGGACGAATATCTGGAAATCGAAGGAAGCTATTCTGATGCACCTGACCTACACGTGAATAGGCAGCTTTGGAGAGCATCAACGGCGAGTTGTCAACGGAGCTGCTTGAGAAGACGTGGAAATATGCGGAGCTCCACGCATCGAGTACATGATTTAGGGTCGATAGACAGCATATGTGGAGCTGCAAGCTACTTCATTCCGCTTCTGCTCAGCCGCCATTTGCGTGTCACCTCACTGACATGACCAATCAACAACGACGGGATCTCTTGACCAGTGGGAAGGAAATCAACAATGAAGACAATCCTCCTAGGGTTACACCTCTGTTTGTCCAGCTTTCAGTTGCTGCCTCTCTGGTGAACCTCCCCGATCGATAGCGGGATGGCCTCCTCGGCCCAAACTACCCGCCTGTTAGGCTACGAAGCTAGTCAAACCCTAAGCCGCCTAGGCAGGTTCCCCCTATACGACTCAGCTTCGTTTCCAGGTAAGTTTATGCTATCGTTTTTCCTTTTCTTTTTCTTTTCTACAGCTCTCGTTTTCACGTGGCTACTCCCCACCCCGGCTCTACACCAGCAGGATAGCCCCCCACTCCCCGCCCCCTCCTTTTTTTTGACTCCAATTGGCCACTCCCTCCCCCAACGGATCCCTGGCGGACTCCCTCCCAGCCTCAACGCGCCACGTCAACCTTCGTTCCAGGTAAGTGCAACCCTCCCCTTCTTTTTTTCCCCCGTGGCATCTCGCGCTCACTGCAAATTTCTGCTCCAACCTCAGCGCCAGCTAACCCCAACTTCCCTCCCTTTTTTTGTGCGCACTCACCCAATCTCACGCCACTCCCTCGCCTCAGCCCCGTCCCCTCCCAGGAAGCTCGGTTGCGTTGTTTCCAAACCCTCACCAACAGATCGGCCTCCTCCTGCCAAGCTGTCCCGTTCTGCATCGAACTCCAAGGACTTCCTCGACAAACTGCAATCGCCGAATACAGCTAACCCCCCATCTCCTCCCGTTTTTCTGGTCGCCTTCACCCCTGCCTTCGTCCCGCCTTTTTCGCCTACGTGCTATCTCCTCTTGCCTCTGTACTTCCGTGCCTTCCCAAGCGCCAACACTCCCGGATCTCCCGTCCCTTCTGGCAATTTTGCTGCCTTTGCCCCGCTTTCCACTCAATTGCCGCCTCCGGCAGAGCCCACTACATGGCTCAGAAACTTGGCGCGCCGCCTAGGCTGCCAGTTTCGTTTCTCGCGCGCGAGCGCTCGGACCCTCGAACGGTCCCGGGTTTCGGGCTGCCAACTAGGCGCCCACTCCCGCCTCTGGCCCTCAATTTACTCGCCACGTCGCCACGTTTCCCGTTGCCTACGCGCTGCCCATGCGTTTCCCGACACTCCCCTTCCCGTCCGCCCCCCTCCCAACCCTTCCCAACGAGCCGCCATCAGAGCCTCGCCTCCACGGCCTCACGCCCGTCCGCCTCCGCCGCTCCTCTGCCTCCCCTCCGTCCTGACGCTCCCCCGCGGGCGCTCCCTCGCTCCCGCCCTATTTAACCCACCTCAGCCTTCGTCAATCACTCACTTCTCTCCTCCCAGTCCCCTACGACTCCTTTACACATTCTTCTGTATGGCTGAGCAGGTTTTCAACCCCGATCTCACGATGTCCGCCGCTGAAGAGGAAAATATCGCTGAATCCGGCGACGATCTCTTGGTCGACGACCTTCCCGAAGGACTACTCGATGACCTCGCGAGCTCCCCTGACCACCCTGCTGCGAAGAAGCCCTGCATGGACCCCGGTGCTGGCCCTGCTAGCTTCAACTCCCCCTCCACCTCCTCCGACTCGGCGCTGGCGCAGCCCGCGCCGTCTCCTGTGCTCCTCGCTGCCGCTGCTGCTCCCACGTTGACTCAGCAAGGCCATGCGCCCTCTCTGGCAGCAACAGCTGCCGCCCCCAACGCCCTGGTTCTCCGCGCTGCTGCCTACGCAACGGCCGCCTCCGGCGCTAACCCGGCTCCCGCGCTGCCCGCCTCGCTCTTTGCCTCATCCGCGCCCGGCGGACCCCCCCGCAACCTCCGCCGTGCGCGCACCTCCGCATCCACCCCGATGCTCCTTCCCCTTCGCCGCCGCGTGGTAGTCACGCTCCTCCTCCCGGAGGCCGTGTTGGAGTCGCACCGCACGGAAATCCTCGCCGGAATCAACGCGCAGCTGTGCGGCTTCATGTTCGATTCGGGCATCATCCCCCCCTTCGAGCACACTGTCGGCGACTCCCTCCGCGTGGCCCGCCACGTGTACGGCCGCCTGCTGTTCTCTTGGCCGTCGCAGGAAGACGCGGCTGTTTTTCGCAAGCTTTTTCCTCTCATGCTGAAAATCTCCAACTCCCGCCCCGTCATGTTGAAGGTCTTTGTTGATCGGTATGAAGCTTTTACCGCGGCAAAGGCAGCCGGCGCTCCTACCCTGTCTATCCGAAACGTCCCCCTGGAGATCGATCCGGAGGAGATCCGCGCCTTCCTCCTCGGGTCCACCGAGGAGGATGGTTCGCATTGGCTCGCGGATCTGACTGACTTTCACCGCGCTTCCGACCCCTACGAGAACACCTTTTTCACTCACCTCGCAGGACTCCCGGTCGCCACCCCCGATGACCCGAATTTCGAACGAATCCCGTCCGAATTCCTGCTGGAGGAGAACAAGCCAACTATGCTGCTCAATTTCTCCTGCCACGTGTGCACGCTGTGCGGTAACAACCACCGCGCACCGGACCACGAGACTTTCGCTCAGCTGCAGCAGGCAAACGGTACGAAATCAATCGCCTCACGAACAAGAACACCATCTCAATTGCTCAGCTGCAGCAGGCAAACGGTACGAAATCTTCCCCTCTTGTCTTAACCGCAAAAATCCTCCCTCCCTGTTGTCATTGCACGCCCTTAGCCTGCCTCCGTTGCCTCCTCATGTGCTCCTCCGCTGCCCCCCATCCTCTCACCACTCCCCCCTCGGTCTACCCCCTCCCTCGCGCAACCTTCATGCTCCCATCCAACACCCACGCTCCCCCCCCGCTGTCCTTCCCTCCCTAAGAGCCCCCGCCCCCCACTGCCTTGCTGTCCCCCCCCCGCACGGCCGTCCGGGCCCCTGCCACCCCCACTTTCATTCTGCCCCTACCCACTCCCCTCGTTCCCTCCCTTCTCACTCCTCTCCCTGTGCCAACTGCCCCCCCTCACCCTGTCCTCCCCCCTGTCACCCATCCCTCCCTTACAGCCCCCCACCCCCCGGCCCCCCATGTTGTGGGGCTCCCACTCAACCCCTTATCCCCCCCACGCCACCCCCCCCTCCCTGCTCTTTCCAACACATGCAGGCAAGCCCCCGCCCAAGGACGCTCAGCCCCTGTCACCTCTGTACCCTCCTCTCCCCCCCCTACAGTCGGGCCTCCGCCCACCCTCACGACTCCCCCATCTTCCCACACCCCCCACGCAATCTCCGCATCGCGAAATCTCTTTCTCACCCATGATCCCCCACCCCCTGCCCCTACCCACGTCAATCCCACCCCCCACTACACTCCCGCCCCTTCCCCCTCGGAGGACAGTACCCCGCCCTCCCACAAGCTCGCCCCCCACCCGCACCCCCCTCCCACTAGCAGACTGGACCCTCCTACGGTACCCCCCTCTCTGCCCCCTCCCGACACTCCTCCCACGATCTCTCCAGAGGGCGGGCCCCCTGCCCAACCTTATGCTGGCATGGAGACGCTCCTCTCCCCCTGCCCTATCCCCCCCTTTTCAACCAGCACCCCTCTCTGCTCCCCCGACCCCTCGACTTCCCCCCCCCACTTCCTCTCCCCCGATTCCCCTCCTCCCCCCCCCCTACCCTCAATCTCGCCTTCCCCCCCCTCACTCTTTTCAACCCCCTCTTCACTTTCTTCACCCCCCACCCACTCAGGAACCCATCTGCAACCGCCCCCTGTGCTATAACCGGGCTGCCCGATCCCCACCGAGGCTCCCCCCCTCTGCCAACAGCCCTCTTCCCCCGGCCTCTCCCTCATTGCTCTCGAGCAGGCCGATCCACCCCCCTCTGGCTCCTTCTCCCCCCCCCCCCTGGGCCCCCGAACACCCCTGCCCCTCCCCCGCACCTCCCACCCCTCTCTGCACCTCCCTCCACCCGCAGCCAACCAGACCTCATGGTCTCCCCCCTCTTGGCCTTCACCCCCACATCCCCCTCCTCCCTGACTCCCCCTCCCCTCCCCTCGTCCACCCCCTCGTCCCCCCTGCCCCCCCTGTCTCCCCCCACCCGCCTCCTCTCTTGCAGGCAACTCTTTGGGCAATCATGCCGCGCCGACCGCCTTCGGCAACGACCCCGGCCTCCTCTACATTGGGCTGGGCGATTGGGTCGAATATTGGACCTGCGCTCTCTGCGACTTCACCTGCGGCGCTGCCCTCGACAGCGCCATGGAGCATATCCAGTCCGACCTGCACGTCAACCGCGTGAAGGCCTCCGCTCACCGCCCGGCTGCCAAGGAAGAATTTGGCCCCTGGCGCGCACTCACCCTGCTGCAGCAGAAGGCCCCGGTGGCTGCCTTCCTTCGCGGTCGCCCTTAGCGTTACGACCTGCGCACCTTGGCTTTGATGCGTGGCTAGTTCCTTGGCTCTGTCATTTAGCAGGCACCCAGTTAGACCTTGGATATGCAACTCATGTGCGCACAATCATGTTTGTCAAACTCTACGTATTATCATTTTCCTTGCTAGTCTTCACTCCAACTCTCACATCTACGCAAAAAACCAAATACGCCATTTTTAAACCCTCACCCCAACAACTACTCAACCCCACACCTGCCTCACCCACCTCACGCTTCTACCAACCTTCACCCCTCGCGCACAGGCCAAGCCAGCCACCTCAGGCCCTGGCCAGCCCGGTGGAGTTGCGTCCCCCCGCACGCGTGTGCTTCAAGCCAACCACCATGATCACACACCCTCACAATTGTTGCCTTACCGTGAACAGTCCAAACCAAGCCCCAACAATGAACGACCTTCGCAGTCGGCTAACCCCCCAAAATACTAACACCAATACCCCAACCCCGCTTGACACTCGCCTAACGCGCAGCCATGTCAAGCTCACTCTCACCATGAATCACCAGAGCGAGCATCCACGCCTGTTTATCACACACGCCCCCATTTGTACGCCCGACCGCCGTCAGCGGCCGCAACACCTCCTCACACCCGCCTTAAAATCTCCCCCTGTAATCGTGGCCTCCCCTCCCGCCAGAGGTTCTCACTCGGTCGACGCACCTACCGACCGAAATCAACCCTCGCACGGACACAGAAGAGGCGAGATGGTCCCGCCAGAGAGCCCCCCTCGTCCGCCTGCCCCGCGTTTGTTCCTGCTGACCCTCGTCCGCATGCCCCGCGTTACTTCGCTACTTGTTCTCATACGTCGTCATGGTTGACATGCTCCACCTGTGAATACGCTAGCACTCCCGACCCCCGGTGTACTCTCCTTCTCGTCACTACCCAGGAATACAACTTTTACTGCTCTCATAAAGGCAGACTCATCCCACGCTTCACCTTGCCGCACTCAAGCATTATTGATCACACGCCACCTATCAGCTTCGCTACTACTCAAAACTGGAGCCCTTCACTTCTCACTCTTAAGTTTAACACACACTTGCTCAAGCTTCACTTGTATGCGGCACCTCTATACCCTGGTTCTGTCGCCCAACATCTCCCTACCTTCTTGTGCGCCTCTGGTGTTGTCCGAATCAAACCAGTATGCCAGCATACCCACCACCAACTTCGGTTCGCACTCGTTGACAGCTCGACTGTTACCCACAACCTCCACCAACTTCCTTCCCTTTTGTATAAACACCCACGCCCGTGGATCCGCGCACACTCCTGCGCGGTGGGCTCCCACCTGGTAGAATGTTAACGCCCCTACGAGTCCGCTGCCTCAACATCAATGGTATCAATACGCCGGTTAAACGAAATGCTCTAAAGCGTTGGCTCTCCTCCTCCTCACCGCACACAGATATTCTCATTTTAGTGGACACACGCCTCTCCAAAAACCTACCTAAACTGTCACTCCAACTCCGGCCACACTCTTCGGTACACGCACCCACCCTCTATGCACTGAATTCAAACGGTCATCCATGTCCGCAACCCGGCGGCATCTCCATCTTATCCTTCAACAGAGCAATATCTCTCACCTCCCTTTCCCCCTCCGCCGATGGCCGCCTTCTATCCGTACATATCAACTTCCTGCGGGAGCAACTTCGCATCCTCGCTATCTATGCGCCGAGACCTGCCACTGACCGCCGGATCTGGTGGAGATCCATCCTAACTCCCGCACTGGAGCAACCCACCGCAGCTGCTGCCACAATCCTCGCCGGTGACTTCAACTCGGTAATCTCCCCCTCAGACCGTAACCGCCTGCTACTTGGTCACGAACTCAGCGAAGCCACCATGGTGTCTAATCTCCTGCTATCGCACGCACTGTCCGACGTGTACCGCTCACTCCACCCTACCGCCCCCGTTTTTTCCTACTTTGGCCGACGGGCCAGCGCTGGCACTGCTCTCCCGCCCGCCTCCAGACTGGACCGACTCTACCTCTCCAGTTCATTCATCCCTCGGGCCTCTGAAACCTCCTACCTCTGGACCCCAACTGACGTTTCTGACCACTCCTTTGCATCCCTCTGCACCCTCACATTCGACAACCCAACCATGGCACCGCGACCTTGGCGTTTCAGCTCCTCTCTCCTCCACCGGCCCCAAGTCGCTACCATAATCGAATCTCACCTCCCCTCCCTGCCATCACGCCCTTCCTCCGATGCATGGGACGCCTGGAAACTGGCCCTCACGCTTAGCCTCAAAAGTTTCTCGAACGAAGAGCGCAAAAGGGTTACAAGCACTACAAACCACCTAGTACAACTCATTAGCCACCTTCAGCTCCAATCTGCCCTCTCCCCTCTTGACCATGATGCGACCACACAGCTCCTCAAAGCCCGCACTCAGCTAACAAAATACGAGGCATCCAAAACCGCCGAGCTCGCTCTAAAAGCAAAGCTCAAAGTCGAGGGCCATAGGGAGATGGGAACCTCCTCCTTGCTGGCAGGACTCAACTCCCGCATCAAAGACTCATTAATCTCCTCGCTTATACTACCAGATGGACAAACCATCTCAGATCTACGAGCCATGACCGCTGAATGCACCAAATTCTTCCAGTCTCTCTACAGCGGGGCAACCTCGGACGTGCCAAATCCTGCCTTCTGGGCTCATATCCCCCCCTCTTCACTCCCCCCCAGACTCCTCAACCATCTGCAAGCTCCCTTTTCCCTAATGGAAATTAGCAAGGCCTTAAACCAGCTCTCCCGTGGCAAAACCCCCGGCCCTAACGGCATCCCGGGCGAGCTCTTCCGACAATACAAGACCCGCTTCGCCCCCGCATTTCTCTCACTCTTCTCCTCACCGCACATCTCCGCTACCCTCCCGCCGTCAATGCTGTCAGGCCGCACAGTCCTTATTCCCAAGAGGGGTAGCTCCTCTATGATCGACAACCTCCGCCCTATCACCCTCATGAACTCGGACTACAAGGTGCTAGCCTTATGCCTTGCCAATCGGCTGCAACTCGCTCTTCCCCTGATTATCCACCCCTCCCAAACCGCTTTCATTAAAAGCAGGAAAATTGGCGATACGATCAACGATACACTCGACATTTTCGACTGGAGCACAATCACGAAAACCCCACTTCTCGCCTTAACGTTTGACTTCCGCAAGGCCTATGACCTGGTCGATCGAGCTTTCCTCTTCCAAGCGCTTGCCAGGGTGGGACTCCCCGAGCAGTTCATCGCCTGGGTTCGCCTCATGCACACTAGCACCTCCACCTGCATCTCTGTTAACAACCTCGCTGGACCCACCTTCCCAGTCCGAACCGGGGTCCGACAAGGATGCCCCCTCGCCCCCCTCCTCTTTGTGTGTGTCATTGAAATCCTACAGCGCTACATATCGCTCTTCCTCCCGGGTTTCCCCCTCTCTACGACGCAGCGCCGTCTCATGGCCTGCTACGCTGACGACGTCACCATCTTCCTCTCCTCTGCTAGAGAGCTTGGGACCACACTCATACACCTCCGGACCTTTGCCGCAGTCTCAGGAGAACACCCCAACTGGAACAAATGCTCAATAATTCCTTTTCACATCTCCCCGGAACAAATCCTTCTGGCTAGCCCCATTCCCATTCGCACTCCTCAAGAGGCAGAACGCATTCTTGGCATCTACGTTGAACGTGCACAACCAGGCGCCACTACCTGGTCCACGACTCTCTCTCGCGTTCAACGCACGGCTAAGTTCCTCGCCGCCCTTCGTGCCACAGCCACCTGCCGCAAGTCACTTGCGTCAGTCTTCTTAAACTCTATCATCTCCTTCCCCGGCCGCTTTCAAACCCCCTCCTTCCCCGGCCGCTTTCAAACCCCCTCCCCCGACGTTATCAAACGCTTAGACGTCTTGGTCGGGAACTTTCTATCCTCTTCGCGCTTCAAGGAGCACGGCCTCGCGATCCGTCTCATCCCTAATCGGCTCCTGTATAACTCCACCCGCCACGGAGGCCTTGGAGCGATTGCCCCCTCCACCCAAATCCGTGCTCTAGCTGCTCATCGCGCGCTCCGTCGCCTCGGCGCCTCACCATCAGAAGAGGTAGCCAGAGTCGCCGTCTGCCTCCCATTTGGCACACACTGTCTCTTCGCGCACCCTGCCATCCTTCAAGCAGGCATTCTGCAAACGATAATCCCAGGTCGAGCACTCGCTGAACTACACGCATTAATAGAGATCACTCCGAACATTGCTCCACCTCGCCTTGTCCCTATGTGTATAATGGGCGAGCCTACCGCCTTCAATCGTTTCATTCTCAAACCAAACGGGAAGCCCTTCGGAATTCTCACGCGTGAACACTTCCTCCTATCTAAGCAGGTCCGTGTCGGCCATTTGATCTCTCTTATCTTCCACTCGTTTGGTGTGGTCTCCTTCAAACACTTCACCTCACTGTTTCCCATAGCCAACTCCTCCTCTGGACGAAGAGTCTGGCGCGAACTCATCCGTGCCATCCCCAAACCTTGGTGGTCAGCCCTTCGCTCCCCCCCTCCCCCCCCGGCAGTCCCTGGGGAGTGGTTCGTCCCTAAAGATGACTCCGAGACCTCTCCCACTATTGCTTTCCAGGTCACGGCCTTCTCCCCTCCGTCGTCACTCTCAGTCTCCCTTTACCATGTCCTGCCCAACCGATTCATCGTCCGACCGTCGATCGGAGATGGCACCTTCCACATAGGTGCCCTCTCTGCGGTACACGTTGTTGGGTCCTTTCTTGCAGGCCCCTTCCATACAGGTGCAGGGCTCGGCGCGCGGCTCGACATCCTTCGGGACGGCTGCCCAAGCGTAGCTGACATTCGTCGCCGGCTCTACGCTCAACTTCCCCTCGACCACGCCGCCCGCTGGATCCACGTCCTCCCCGCTCCTCCTCCCCTCCTCCCCGACCTCTCCCATGCCTTTTTACGGGAGCAACCCAGCCTCCAACGCGACGTCTTGTACCGGTTCTACACTCGCGCTCTTCCTTCGGGTTCACG